TGGGCTACGCTGCTGTGGACCGTCCTGTCGCTCCTCTGTCTGCCCGTGGGGGGACTGCTGAGGTGCTCAGTGGCGGGGCTTCTTGGGCTCCGCTTCCGGTGGTCGGGCTACCCGCCTGCGCTGCACCGTTTCCCGGGCGTCGCTCCTCGTCCTTCCCGGAGGTGCATCCGCCGTGGATCAAATTCATCTCTCCTTTTATTATTTATAATTTTATCTGTGGTTTTATTGTTCTTGTTTTGATTGTAAAGTGTCCTTGAGTGTTTTGAAAGGCGCTTATAAATGTAATGTATTATCATTATTATTATTATTATTATTATTATTCAAATTAAAATAATTAAGAAATGACACAAACATGGATTGTAACTATTTGAAGTCCGCCATTGTTGACCCATTTTCATATGTCATCATCAAGGAGCAACAAGGCTTCCGCAAATAAAATACACCAAACGCCCCAAACCGGTGGAAGCTTCTCGATGGTTGATCCTTACACCTCGACGCATGCTCAAGACAACTGAGACGCTCCTTAATATGGTGACATGAGAATCCCTTCGTTGTTGTGTTCAGTGTTTTAAGGAGCTTGTAACGCTGCTATTAAGATGAGATGAGTTCAATGAGTCTCCTCGGAATTGGTGTTTGTGTCCAGTAACTGGGCATGCAGCTGTGTTGGGAATTAACCAATCACATTCCAGCTCCTGTTAAGTGAGAGCGAGGACACACCTGCTACCATTTAAAGGCATTGCCGTAACAGACTGCTCCTCTGCTACCAACTTTAATGAAACAATGGCATCCTGAAGTAACATTCAATAGCTGATTAAAGGGGCAAAAAAATAATAAATCAACAACTTCATTACGTTGACACCATACTCTATATGGCAGGGGCCCCCAACCTTGTTTGCCCCACGGACCGGTTTATGTCAGACAATATTTTCAGGGACCGGCATTTAAGGTGTGGCGGAAATAATCCAACGAAATAATATGGTATGATCTGCAAGAAAACTGTGGCATTTTCGAAATATAATAATAAACACAAGGAGCGTCTAATCTGGCCGCAACACTCCGATCGCTATGGCAATGTTTAATGCCTTCAAAATACGATACAACGCAAATTCAAAGTGCATGAAAATGACGACTCACCACAGCACCGAGCTTGATTTTCTGCAACCAGACGGTCCCATCTCGGGGTAATGGGAGACAATGACACCTCAAGTGTGTGGTTTATGTCCAATCTACTTCGTAATTTTGTTTTCGTCGCCGTTGCTGCAGAAACCCCCCGCCTCACACAGGTAGGATGTCGGAAATAGCAACAGTGCTATTGTGGCCATCTCAGAGTATTCAGCCATAACTTTAATCCAGTTGTCTCGAACGTACTTTTAAGGCCCCCGTCATTCAAGATCTCCAGCAGTTTTTTTACTTATTTTGCGAGCTCCTGCGTTTTGTTTTGAAGTAATCGGTCACGTGATGGAGAAGCGTGGCTTGACGTGTGTCAAGCGTAACACAGACGGATGTAACGGAGAATCTGGTAGTTTTTCACAATAAAACATCTTTCGCATTCCGAAATAAATAAAACGGAATTAAGGCAAGTTCTTTCTGTGCGGCCCGGTACCAAATGCCCGGCGGACCGGTACCTGTCCGCGGACTGGCGGTTGGGGACCCCTGCTATATGGCACCTGTTACCAAGGTTTAGCGGCGTTCGTACTAGCAGCTAGCATCGCTGACGAGAGCTCCCGAGTTACTTTTCAAATTTGACGTTCATACTGATCACCTTTTAAGATACCAGGCTTCCTCAAATGTGCTGTTTTAGCCAGCAAAAATCGCTACAGTTTGTGATGTCACTCAGAGAGCAAGTGGTGCATTTATGAGCTCGTAGGTTACAGTACTCCGCTTGACATGCTCGTTACAACCCCGCAACAGCAACACTCAATGATAAAATACAAAACAGTTTGTTTCACCATGATATCTTTCCTGTTTATTCAGCCTGTTATTTAAATAATCAAACATGTTAGTTAACACACTTTAATCATGTTGAACTGATCTCTTGGCGTTCTCTTCACTTTTATGAAATTACTTTTGGAATACGAGAGTTGCAAGTGAAAGGAGCTTGACCAAAACGGTAAAAAAGCGGGTAACTTTAAACCACCAAGACTGGCTGAAACAGCGAAAAAAGAAAAAAAAAAGGAGGGGAGGGGGGCGCAACTTTCAACCATGTTTTATTGTGTATGATGAGACTATGTTATGGGACACTTGCATGAATGTAACCAGATGATAGTAATAGATACCAATGAATCAGGGTACCATATTACTACTTTTTAAGGTTTTATTTTATTTTTTGGGGGTGGGGGGTGTATTTGGGATTTCACGAGAACTGACTGCTTGTGGCTGACCGGCTACTTTGTTTGCTTACTTGTTTGTTTGTTTGGTTTTACACATTTCACATGAAAAAATCAAACCAAATCAAATTCTGCTTTAATCCATCTATCCATTATCTGAACCATTTTATCCTCACGAGGGTCGCGGGTTTGCTGGAGCCTATCCCAGCTGTCTTCGGGCACCTAGTGGGCTACACCCTGAACAGGTTGCCAGCCAATTGTAGGGCACACAAAGACAAACAACCATTCACAATCACACCTAAGGACAATTTTGTGTTCAATTCACATATTAAGCATGTTTTTGGAATGTACCAAGAGAAAACTCACATAGGCACCGGGAGAATATGCAAACTCCACACAGGAACGCTGGAGCCCGGAATCAAACCCATTGTTGGGCAGATGTGCTAACCAGTCGACTATCTACTTGGTTTATATTCTTCTTCTTTTCTCATGTAAACAGGCGACATCTAAACCAAGGCCCTGTCCAGTGGTTAAATATATTTTTAAAAGCCAACATGTATCTATAACAAGGTTCTATAGGTTGCAAATAGACCTAGGCCACTCCTGTTTTATGGTGTCTCCCACTTTGAGGTTCACCTAATCGGGTGCCATTCCTACTCCATAAAGGAGTGTCCCAAAGAACCGCCCTCCCTTCATGGGAAACACTTGAACACAGCTCATTTTACTAATTGTGCTCTCACATTATTTTCAAAGCTCTATTTACCTCTAAAACATTTTAATTAGATTACTGTCTCTATTTAACCCATCATGGACTCTTTGAAGCTCAGTGTTTTTAGTATTAAATCCTCAGATGCCTGATAGCAAACAAATGACATGGCCCCTTTTAATTTAATGAGAAATGTTGCCTATCCAGACTCAGTCGCTGCATCTTTTTCAGTTCCACCTACTCGTCCCCCCTCCCACCCCTCACCCCCATTGAAAGCCAGTTAATTGAAGGAGTCTTTCACTGCTATACATGAAGGGCTTCAAATTAGCATCCCTTTCTGCCCATTGGGAAGATGATGCAGACTGGGATGCTTTGATGTAAGAGAAAGACGCTTTAGTAGGCGGCAGGCTTGGAGAAAATGAGCTGATGGCTCTGCTATTAGGCCCAAATGCAGATGCAGCCATGTGTTGCAAAACACTTAATCTTTTAATTGATCACCTTCTGCGCGGCCTATTCTTGTATTTCCCCCTGCTGTCTGATAATCTGAAACACATTAGGGCATGGCATGGGTTGTTTTTCAAAAGGCAGGACTACAAATTCAATCCAAAGGACACAAAAGGCAGGACTACAAATCCAATACAAAAGACACAAGTATGTTATTTGCAAATATCATTTGAGGGAAGCTGCATCTCATTAGGGTTCCTGAAATTATTCAATTATGTCATAAAATGGATTGATCATTACATGTTACTCCTGCATGTAATTTCTATTTTATATTTCAGATGAAATATTGGATCACAAATCCGCAGTTTTTTTTCTGTCAATATATCAATGTGAAGTAAAAAACTGAATGAGATGCTGCACTACGAAAGAGCCTGAGTACATTGTGAAGGTGTGTATTGATTCATAAAAACACACCTGGCATACTATTAACAAGGTCTCTTGTTTTATAACTTCGAGATTGGAAGGAGGTAGAGGTAGGTGTAAGGGATGAACCGTCTTACTTTGGTAGACGTGGTAAATACGTTATTGATGCCTTAGGAAATTATTTCTTGTTACATTTTTAACTACGTGTGCGTTTTCAATTACATTTAGTTTTGATATAATTTCGAGTCTATCAGAAAGCAATAATCGTCTTTTATTTTTAACTGAGAGACGAATCTGGACAAATATATATATATATATATAAATATAAAAGACGAAAACCCCAAAGCAAATGAAGAGTCGTCATAATTTTATTTGACCGGTCAGAAATTCGAGGTTGAGCACTTCGCTTATCACAACACACCGATCAAACACTCGTGACAGATTCCCAGTTCCTCCGAAGCTCACCTGTGAAAATAGACAGGCCGCCTGCGTTCTTAACACTGGCCGTTTTCCTTTTCCGTTACGTACTTTGAATGTATTTGCCACTTGCTTTAAAGCACAACACACAACAGACTGAACAGAGCAGGGCGCGCATACTTCAAAACGGGGCTCAAGATGTTTGTTCACGTTATTGGAATAACATCTATATCTTGGGCCCCGAAAAAAACTTATTTGCAGTTGGAACTGGTCGACCTCAGAGATGAGCGTATTAGATGACCCACGGAATGAAATTATTGTGCCCGATATGGTAAAGAACAGCTGGTTTATACGAATGATTTAAATAACTGGCCGAGAAAAAAAACCCGACTTCATCTTCAAAGTAAACAAATGGGCTCGAATTAACGGAACACAAAATGGATTTCTGATACAACATGCATAATGAATTTGCAAGGAAACCAAAGCACAGTCATTTAAATGCCAGTAAAGAGCACAAATTTAGCAATGACAAAAAAAAAAAAACATTAAAAATGCATACAAATCTGAATCAAACAAACTATTACGAAAAAAGAGCTATTCGCCGGTGTGTAATTAAGCCGCCGGTATGAAGAAAATCTATCATAAATGTCAACAATTTGTAGTTGAATTAGACACTGGTGTTGGATCCCATCATATATATTCCAATTTATTTGCAGAGATGAAAATATTTATTTTTTTTGCAGGTGGATGAATGAACATCACAGTAGGTCTATCATTGTTCAACGGTAAACATTTGTAATGACAGTAATATAAAGTCAGCGTTATTTACAAAGGTATACAATAATGCTGCGTATTAAACAGCCATGCAGCCTACTATAAGAGATGATCCGGAGAGCAAATATCATCCTCGATATCCACATCGTCATCGCTTTCTTCCAGCAAATATGTGTCCCGCTCCAGTGGGCATTTCAGTTCCTTGCCGCTTTTCTCGGTCAATTCGTTCTCGCTCGAATTCCCTGCGGTTCTCTCCACTTGCCCGGGTGTCTTGTGCTCATCCTGGGCTTTCCTCAGCTGCTTCTTGTGCTTCATACGTCGGTTCTGAAACCACGTTTTCACCTGAGGAGAGTAAGGTGGGTGTGTTTCAGACGGCAACCCTGAAGAAATTATAGAATCAACTGAAAAGTAAGGTATGTATTTTTTTAGACCCTCGTGAGGATAATGAATGACTGGATGGATAGAACATGCGTGCAATGCCTCTCTGAACGAATAAATGAAATATAACCCGGATTCTTACAATTTATGAGTGAAGGACTTGCAAACGTCACAGTTTCAAGCAACGTTTGATATTTGGCGGATATCAATCATTGCGGGGACCGTTGCTGTATGTATAGTTTTGGCCCATTTTAATTCAAACTTGTTTCATTTAAGTCATGAACATGAATCGAAAATAAACAGCAGCCTTATTGATATTTCGAGCTGGTCGCAGTGTGGTCAAATTGGTCGTCTTGAATTATTATCGGAACTCTGTTGCTTAATTCAAGAATTAACTACATTATGAATTCATTCTGTTATTATGTTCTTTGATGCCGATGCGACGCAACACATTTCCGTTGAATTTGTTCCCATTTTAGGTTTGCTGCAAACAAACGCTACAATCTCAAAGAACGCTTTATAGCGCGAGCGCCCCTTTTTTTTATTTGATTTTTTTTAAATACTATTTGTACCTGTGTTTCGGAAAGGCTAAGCGCAGTGGCAAGCTCCACTCTCTCCGGTGTGGACAAGTACCGCTGGATTTCAAACCTCTTCTCCAGGCCAGAGAGTTGCGAGTCGGAGAAAACCGTTCTGGCCTTCCTGCGTCTGCAGTGCTTCCCCGGTAAATCTGCGTGGTGTTGAAACAAGGCTGGCATCTGCATGCCTGAACCAAGGAGATGAAACTGTGATTAGCCGTTTGAACACCACAACGTTACAATTATATTTACCGTTCTTCTCTATTTTAACAGAAAATGGTAAAGGGAAAGTGAAAGGAAAATAATTCGAAGTCTTATTTGAAAAATATACCGGGGACGGTCAAAATAGAACAACCAGAAGCTACCATTAATAATGAGCAAATTGCCTTTACAATTTACGTTCACAGAAACGGGCAAGGGGCTGTTTTGCTTACTTGATTTATTTATATTTTTTTAATGAGAGGGAGAAAATGTCAGAGGCAGCCTATTGGATGTTCGTATATGAGTGTCAATCAAAAGTGAGCATCGGTTCATCATCAGACACAATTTGGGAATGGAATTGTTTCATTGCGTCTTATTAGACTGTGGTGTGTCTAATGTGGCCTATAATTTGCCTTCAATGACGACTCCTGTCGTACTACGGAAGAACGAACTGCATATTTGCTTTTGTGAATTCAGACAAACTATTTTGCGCTGGGGGGAAATAAACTTTTTAAACTACATTTTAATGTGATGGGATTTCAAACCATCTCAAGCGTAAAATATACAGTACTAAGATATACCAATCAAATTATATTCATCTTGTCATCTTAATTCGGCTAAACTTTCATTTTAATTGAGAAAATGGGTATATCCAGCTTTATAAAAATGTGGATCCATTACAAACATTGTGCTATATAGGCCACGAATGTTTTTATTCGATGGTCTCTACTTACCAGATGTAAAGAAGTACTGGTGATGTTCTGGTTTGTGGAGCGGATGATGTGGATGAGGGGCCAAAACCGGTGTTGGCATCAATGGGTATCCATACTCCAGGATTGGCATCCGGGAGGCCACGGGGCTACAGAAAGGCGATTGAATAACTTCTCTCAACGGCTTAGGTTTGTGCAATAAAATATCTTCGATAAAAAACGACGTCGACCTCTGTGTGGGACCCGCTGATGGGTAATTCATGCTCATGATGAAAGTTATTTGAAGTATGCTATTTCTTAAACATACATCGGCACCTGCCTATTCCCGCTCGTCCCTCGGTTTTAAATGCAGCCCCCTCCGTGTTGTCGGCCACTATGTCCTACATATCACAGGAAGGACAGATTGTCATCAAATTCTAATTCAGACGGGAGTGTGAAAATTGATTTACCCATCAGCCAATTAGAGTACAGATGGGCGGGAGAGAAGTGACGGACGCGGTCTGAGCTCCGATTGGACGAAATTGTGCACTTGGTGAAACGGCGATCAGCCAGAAAAGCCGAGTGTGTTGAACACATCGTCATTCGGGTGGAAACAAATACTTAAAGCAGTGCTTATTTGGTTGCCAGGCGACGATGCTGTTTTTATGCACAACCATTTACCTTGGTGTTTTTAATTTCTCTGAATCCATGGTCTTTTCTTAAACGTCAACAAATATTTTACCTGAATAATTGTATTGAAATAAAGTGGTTGATTGCTTTTCTCACAAATGTTGGAATTTGGGAGAATAAAAATATCAAGGGAGGAGGATGGAAGGCAAGATTCGATTTTTCATATTTCATTCTTCCTCCCCTTAAAGCATCTGACATATTTTTGGATCAAATTTTTGTTCGACCTATTATTTTTTTTCTACATCAGTGATTTTTTGAGGGAGTCATCTTTGTTGCTAAACTTTAAGTTGCACGTGGAAAATCCACCGTACTCATTTTGTTTAAAAAAACGAAGCCCGCACGTTCTGCAGTCTTTCTTCGTTTTACTTTTTGAATCATCGGATGTCACGGGAATAGGTTCCAACAAGTCAGTCTTGCAATTCGATCCAAATGGACTTTAATTGTTGGTATTAAAATCTATGAGACTACATGTGCCGTGCCCATTTACGACCCAAAGCTGTTTGTTATAATTTGTTGATATGGTGTTGTCGTCACATTTCTAATCAGGGCAGTTAATGCCAAAGTGCCTTAATGTAGGCAGAATCATCCTGCAAAGCAATGTTAGGCAATTAGAAAGATATTAGAGCGGAAACTGTAATCCTCGAATGTGCAGGGCAGGGTTTCCATTTGATGAGATGGACAGAGAACAAATTAATTAGATGGAATCAGTAAGCTTGATGTGCAGCGCTTTCACAACTTGATGCCCGCAGCTCTAAAACATTTTGCCGTGATGATGACAATGTTTTATAACTATGCATTGAGACGAGACGACGGGAGTATGATATAACCCGCCCTTACAGAATACACATAAGGTATATAACTGTACATTAACCCATTCTGGGACTCATTGAAATCGAAAGTAATTTCATTAAAGTGAAAAAGAAAACAACTATTTTGATAGAGCGATGTAAGAAGAGCAAATAGAGAACACACTCAAATGGAATGGAAGCACGACCTCTCATGCATTGATTGTGCGTCAGTTGAGCACACCGGGATAGTCGCTTTTAGAGCGGAAATTGGAAAATACATGAATCAGATTGTGATAAAATCGCCTTCAGGATTCATTCTTTGGACACAGTTAAGCGGCTTTGGGGCAATTTCATTTGATGAAAATTGGAGTCGCAATATGGTGCGTCACTTCTTTACGTGTTATGTTTAGTTAACAGCATAATAGGCTTCGAAAATTGTATTTTGTATTGTAACAGTTATAGTTGCTGTACCTATAGTCTATATTTCCATCGATGCAGGTCTTTTATCCGTTTTCGTATCCACATAACGTGGCTTATATCGAGCCATGTTTGTTCAGTATTTTAAGAAATATTCTCACTTCACTGATTGACTGATTTTTTTGAATGAATAATTATATTAACAATAGCTTTTCAGTTCTCCGTGTTTTACTTGGATATTGCTAATGTAATGTATTTTTTTACAGCATTTATTGAAGTCAATGTAAATGACATTGCCACGTAAGATTTACTCAGAAAATGTGCTTTGTTTTAGAACTCGAGTAGTTTCCGGTAACCTTCACCCTTGGCCAAATATGGTAAGTGACGTCATGTAAAAAAATCGCTGTCTCACAGTCGGAGTCAAGGATTCGAATAAAGATTCTATAAAAAAAAAAAAAAGTCGGAGTCAAGGAGAATCTCCGTACACGAACACGATACGCAGCAGACGTGAAGTGGCGAAGGGTTCCAATCATTTCTGCGAATAACTTTACTTACAAGTAACCTGTAAGTGTGTTTGGCTCCGTTTTAGCTTAGCTTTTAACATTCAACGAGTCAGCGTAAGGTTACTGTTGCACCTGCTGGTTTAATTGCTAGCTACAAGTCGCAAGCCTATAAAGAATGAAAATAACGTGTCGTCAGCCACTTAAACAAAAACGGTTCGTGTGATGCTCTTCGGTTTCATGCTTCAGTCAGACCAGACAACAAGTTTTTATCTTGAGGTGCAATTACATACAAAATCAATGCTTTTAGCTCAAATAGGCGGGAATCCTTGTTGGACGGCGAAATGTACGTGGTGAGCACCTGTACCTGCTTGTTCGTCATTTCGCTCACCTTCTAAATTTTGAACATGGCGTCGTCGCACGCAATTGGCGTCGAGAATGTACCATGAGTACATAGCAGACAAAAGTTCAAGCACAACTACGGCCACCGTATTGACTAGTGATGTTTAAGCTTTTTTTTTTTTCCTGTCCTCTTGACATATTTCGTGTTTGGTCATCTAGCATGAGTGAAGACGGATGGTGGACTGAGGAGGCATTAACAAAATTCTTTCGCCTTACCTTTGGCAGGTAAATACATTTACTAACATATCGCCTGAAACAAAAATATTTCTGTCTTAAATCCGTGCTTCTACATAATTCAGAGCATTGTTGAGGCCGTCAGTGCTTTGAATCGACTGGCGGATTACAGAGGTGCATGTTGTATGTCAATTAGCCTAAATGTATGTGCTGCAGTATTTTTTTTCAGTCCCCTGTGGCAGACTCAGACACAGCCAAGGAGGATGGCGAAATGGGAGTCATTAAAATCTATTAACTGTGAGAAACCCCTTTAATAAATGCTCATTTCTAGTACAGAAATAATATTTACATTGTCAGACACAAATTGAGAGGGTATCATATTAAAATGGCAAATAATGGGTATTTTAATTATAAATGAAGAATCCAGTTTGTTGTGACTGTTAAAAATACGTAACATATTATTTACCGTCAACTTCAATGTAATATTTGGTTCATGGAAGGTCAGTTATTATTGCATGTATTGCATTATTCCATCGATTTAGTTTTTTGTAGTTATCTTTCTTGTCAGGGTGTTGGATTTTAAGATTACTGCCTGAAAACGGCTTGGATGATGGATGTATGTTTTTAGCTCAGATTTAGCTTATAATTAAACACAGTCCAGTCTTAGTTTTTAGCAGAGGTGGCAAATCCAGGTTCAGAAAGTTAAAACCATGTCACAGTTTGGCTTTAGCTACAAGTTATTTATTCTTTCTGTGTGGCCCGGTACCAAATGACCCATGGACCGGTACCGGTCCGTGGCCCGGGGGTTGGGGACCACTGATCTACATGATTTTCAAAAGACAATGGCCAATTTACTAATGCTCATGGTTGTGTAATCATTTTCCAAGCATACAATAGCAACAAAGACTCCTGTGCTTGTAATTCCTGCATTGCTGGGAATGTTTCTAGTATCTGTTGCTGTGGAAACCATAACGAGGATATGTCCTCTGCCGGCCCAAACAACTTTCCGCTCATAATCCTGACCTGGAGAAACAATAGCACTGGGGGAACATTTTAGCAAATGGTTGTGAGGTGTCTATTTTGGAGGAGGACTTTATTTGGATGAACACTTTTTTTTTTTTTCTTTTGGTGAGGTTTTTTTTTTTTTTTTTTTTTTTGGTCAGCTGGGGACATGTAAAGCCCTTTGTCTTTGAATAATAAGAAACATCAACTATAATTGTCCTCAAATGAAACTTGAGGTTAAAACTGAATTTTAAAAGTTTATTTTGGTGAAATGGGGAAGGTAGTTCGGGTGGAACGAACAAGTTGTGTCGCAAAATAACATTGCAGAAGAACCTTAGAGTCCATTAGAAGGCTAAACGCAGCCACATTGGTCCACCACTTAAATCTGTAATGTTTGTGTGTGAACAATAGCTATAATCTATCAACAAATGCACTCACAGTTGCAACCCATTTTTTTTCCAGATGGCAAAATATGGTATTTGGTACACTGCATCATTTCGAGGGACTCCATTACTTCAGGAAATTCAGTATACACACTTCAGGAAGCAAGGGTGTGTTAGTAATTGCCTTCTAATCAACTAATTACTGCTGCTGGATTGAGCCGCAGGGTCACCAGTTTGTGCGTAGTCCACTTTGTTATTAGTCCCTGAAGAGGGGCTTATCTGCACCCGTATTGTCAATATGCAGACACACATCTGCGTGTGCTTTCACAAGCGCGCACTCGCCTTCGTGTATTCTATGATGCTTCGATACACATTGTTGAGCCTGCAATCCAATATTCCTCCTTCATCCCCTCATCCTACTCAAAACTCTTTTGTCGATCCATTTGAGTCCAAACCTGCTAGCAATCAATCTCTCAAAATATAAAAGATTATTTGATAACGCTGCAGCCAGTGTTTTTATAAATATTTACATTCCAAAAACGTGCATTGGAGGGTGTACACTCCTGTTGCTTTTTAAATTTTTTATCCATTTGTATTATTCTCTGCAGAGCATGCTGTTCCATGGGAGCAGCAATCGTTAAGCTTTAGGATAAAATGAAAATCCATTCATCCATCATCCATCTATCTATCAATTTTCTACTGCCTATTCTCTTCAGAATCCTTCGCAGCTGAATTAGGGAACGAGGCGCGTACATCCGAGAGATCAACAGTAAATGGGGAAGCCGAGCAGGGCACAGGATTCGGACATTGAGGCACATAGCCATTGACACATATTCCCAAAAGGCAATTTTGAGTCTTCAGTTAGTACCCCCAGTGTCCATATTTTGTGTAGTTTTCATCTTGAAAAGCTTGAACGAAGCAAGACTGATTGATAGGCAAACATCGTGCTATGTTATCACTTAGCATCCCAGTGTGGTTTGGGAAGGTGCTGAAAAAACAACAATGGGAACAAGTTAGTGAATTTGCGTTGGAATCATTTATGTATAATTTGTGAAAAATTATGTTTAGCTCTCCTGACAGTTCATTTGGTCAAAATTGAAGTAATATCAGTGCTCACTGTAGACCAGTGGTTCTTAACCTGGGTTAGGGGTTCGGTGAATCGGTCTCAGGGGTTCGACGGAGCCTCTGTCTTGGAGGTTTAGACATACACGACTCAACATTTCAATTAGTCATGACATGCCCGCTTGGCCATCACTGGCTGCAGATGATCACATTTCATTGCTTGTCCAATCAGTGCAGCAGGAAATTTAGTTCGCTCAGTAGTCACAGTGTGACTGTCGTGATAGTACGTCGTATAATGTAAAAAAAAATATAATTATGTCTTGAAATTTTATTTACTTTTTTTCTGTTTTTAATAAATGCATTTATCATGTCTTGAATT